ATAGATTTATTAGAGATTTTTCCAAGATGTATTGTGAGTTCTTTACTTTAACAAACGAAACTAGCGCGATATTTTGAATTGTGAAATTTTCCAGCTTGAAATGATTTCATTGCAATATAAGAACTTCAATGTTTAGCTTCTGCAATATAATTATCTTTTCATCACAGAATGGACGATTCAGAAGAATATGAGTATTTCGATCAAAAAGACATGAAAGAATCTAAAACGACAATTTGAACATATATAGATTCGCAGTGTCCATTTTAACGTAATTTCAATAAAATATTGAATTAACGCTCTACAAAGAAACTACCAAAAAGTTGCAAAGTTAATTGTTCCATTATGAATCATTCACTGCAACAATAAATATATAGCTAAATAATAAACAAGGAACACAGCCTACGCGTCAAGTGTCAGCAGCGTTTCTCCATATTAGGTTCTACTCCTTTTTGTCAGCGCCACATCTCGCGGTTCGTTTTCCTTTTCGCTCAACTTCGTTCATTCTGGTTCTCCGTCCTCGTTGCGCTCGAAGTTGCAATATCTTTGCGCTTCTATGACGGAATAGAGTGTCTACGGTGCAGTTCGTGAGCATAAGCTGAACAAGGAGAAGATATATAGAGATGTATAGATTGAGGATATACACGGTTGTATCGCGGAATATAACGGCTCGTAATAAGAGCTGTGCTGATTAAGGATGCCGATCGAAGGAATCAAATGGGTGGTGTCTGCTTCTTCGATGAGTTTTTGTACATATAGAAGTCGGTTGCCTAGTTATGCTAATGCGAACGGACCTATCTGCCTCTTCTCAGCGGGACTTGGCACGCGATGCCGCTTCTTACGTAGCTTCTTCTCGATCTTTTGCCTTTATTGTCGTGGTTCGTGGCATGATCGCAGGTTGCCGCAATGTCCGTGATAAATGTACGCGCGTTCACGTGGTACGTCACAGCCTCGTGCTGGTAATCGTGCTTCCTTAAGATGCATCGACGTACTTGCATAAATGAATCCATTTGTTCGACGACTGATTTTATACTGTCCTGTTTACATACCGAGCCTCGGCGGCGTAGACAATCTTCGTTATCCGATGAACCGGATACGTTTTACAGAGTACCGCCGTCCCTTACGTAAAATCCTATCAGTCCTGTGAAGATTCCACGACCGTGATTCTTCTTCGCATTTTTCTTATGTCCAAGTTTTAGCAAATTTTAAGTGCAACTAGACATTCATGTGAACGGAAATGGAAGAACTTTAAGTAGTGTTACGTTACTAAATATCTTATATTCATGCTCGTGAATCTTCTCTCTTTTAAACTGAGTTTCTATTCTCTGAGTATAGCAAGAGAAAATATATTCTTGTTTAATGAAAGCGTAATTTTTTGTGTAATATGCTACTAAGGTATTTTAGCTTAGTATTAAAAATAACTAGTGATTGGTAAAAATAAACATTTGATAGTTAAAGGCAGTTGTAAATACGCTTCTACAGAGGAAACGTTGAAGTTTCAATTTTTTATTGGATATCTCATAGTATTGTATTTATACAATCAACTAATAGTAGATTTTTATCAAGTGATCTTGCGATAAGTACATTCGAAAAATGTGTCTATTGTCCGAGATTTTAAATAGTTATGACCCCTTTATTTATCCTGCACAACTATAAATTTCCAGCTGACCAAACCCTATAGAATAAATGAAAATATAAAAACTATAAAATAATTAAGCGATAAAGTTTATGATATGAGTTAACAATGACGACAATGAATATTTACTATGCTAAAAAAATTGTAATATGTTCACAGACAATTGGTAAACGTATGATGTTTAACCGTACATAAAAATCTCGACATCGGTACTCCATAACCGAACAGCGAGTTTCAAACCGGCGGGACATACGAGTATCTTCCGGTAAAGCCGCGACGGTTTCTCGAGGTAATTTGTGAGTTAGTTTCGGGCGGAGTATCGTAATCCACGGTAACGTTATGCGGCGTGAGTCTGGCCTATAGTAGCCACCACGCCTGGGAGTCTTATGTCGGGATTACTTGGCTTACCGGATACGCGAGGCCGGAAGCCACGGGGGTGTCTGTCCAAAATACTCCCTGGGATTACCTGGTGCTCCCTGTGGAAGGTAGCAACGGTTTCGAAAACTTGCTTCGACGGGGTCCCTATACACATCGAACATAGTTTGGCTAGCGATAACGGATAGTAATAATGCGGTAATGCATACGAACGATGATCACGCGATAGAATTGCTTGTGCTAACCAATAAACTGTGTGCGCCAGACTAGCGAATCGGTATTGATAAAATAATCAGTAACCTACAATGCCAGCTATTCTCTACGATCTCGTGCGTACAGTTAATAAATTTTGGTTCGAAAACTGGGATTTAACACGTTAAATATCGTATCGATCACCGATGACCGACGCTTCTGAATTACTTGAAAAAATTACAATATGCAAGATGACTACTGCCGACTAAAAATATTTAATAATAATAAGTTAACATAAATAAGTTAACAATAGTGTAATGTAATAATTCCAATGTCAAATAATTAATAATTCTTCTTGTTTACTGCGAAGGAACAAATCGTGCATAAAACGTTCAAGATTCTCGTGACGCTTAACGTGTTAATGAACGAATCTCTTCAGAAAGAATGTTATAATTTCGGAACCTTCAGCAGGAAACGCATAAAGCATTTCAAGGAGGAGTTTTTTTTAAATGAAAACATTCAACGATCGAATTGTATTACAGGTAATCTAGAATGTTTCCTTTACCCACGTCGCAGTATTAATTGAAAGGATATTTAATTCTAAGAAGCAGCGCAAACGATGGGTCTTCTGTAACGAAAGCCGTAAAAATAATTAACGCACTACACGTACAAGAATTTGCCTTCCTACTCCGATGCGTTGCATAGCGATCTCCTCGGTGAAGTCGGTACTCGATCGTACAAAGTACGGGTTGCGCCCATGCAAAAACCACGGAGATTGTGCATACGTCCCCGGGGATGCGATCGGGCCGCTTGCCTCGTCGTCCACCTTAAATGCTCCTTAATATGTAAGTTTTTCTGGGACAGTCCCTTTCTGCGGCGCCCAACTTGTCAGAATTTGGACTCGTTTCCGTATTCGTCGTATTCCATGCACATCCATCGCAAATGCCTGCGCGCAACGTTCTTAACTTAATGGGCCTTCTTACCGGATAACTGAAAAAGTCGCAGGCTAAATTGAATAAAGAGTAGCGTTGTCTTTATATTAAATAGAAAAAAAGAAATGCAGAGACGTTTTCGGTTTTGGTACAGTATAGTACAGTATAGTACGCCACATAAAGGTAGCGTTGGTGCTAAATCGTCGAACCTGCGCGAATGCCACTGTGGTTTTGATATAATGAATACACGTGTTGCAAGACTTCATTGACATGAAGTTTCTACGCACATTGTAGTGAAATATCAACATTATCTCTTTTAATCATTCTATATGTAATTGATTGGAGTTTTAAGATAATTTGTTTTACACTATTTATTACTTCTGTTACAGGTGTCAGACAGGTGCAAGATATTTATGTTAGGCTTATTGACTCCGCGACGAAACAAGTGAGTAATAATATTTAGTTCATAAATAGAATTGCTTAATGAAAAATATTACTTTACCGTGAACCGTGTCGCTGAAGTTTGTGTAGAGAGAAGTGTATTTAATTGTATTGTATTTGATTTATTAAATATGTAATTTAAAATCGGTAATTTTGGGGGGATTAAGTAATACGCAAGTGATTATAAAGGTAAACGAAAAACATATTGAAAATTTTCATCAAATTCCGTCTGAAAGTATACGCTCGTTATTCTAAAATTTTGTTTAATTTCATTGATAGTAAAAATATGGAAAATCTACGATTACCATGAACATATTTTGGGTGATCAATGATCAAGTAACATAAAAAGAAACAGATTTTTATGCATTTAATCATTTTATTTGATATAATTTCATCATAAAATTATTGAAAGTATAAAACCATTTTAAAAAACTCACATTGTTTCGCTCAAGAAAACGTTGAAATACACAAGGGTTCACACATTTGCGACACAAAATTCTGTTGCGTGTTGTTTTATAATTTCACAAAAAAACTGTGCTATAACTTAACCAAGTGAACAAAACAATTCTGTAACAGACAAACTTACATTTGATTTGTTTCATTGTAAAGCCCTCGATCATGAATAATGCATTTCTATGATTTGATTTACATCGAAACGAATAGAGACTTGGCCTAGTTACAATGTTGTTTACTACCGCGCCAGATTATGGCATAATTAATAGTTGGATTCATTGATAAGAATCTGAAGGCACGATCAATCCGGAAATTCTCGCACTCCTTTCGTTTTGGTTGGTATTTCCCTGCTACGAAACTCCTGCACAGTAGACGCAGTGACGCGTTCCTACCGCTGTTATCATCTGAGCTACAAGCACTTAATTTTCCGGGGGGTTGATTCCTACCCCTCCGGGATAGCAACCACCGTCGCGCGTCTGCTCCATCCTGTTATCTGCGCCACGTGGCGAACCCTGCGCACGGTCCGCGAACCACGTGTTGTGACCCTGTACACAGGGCCGTAGATCCTGGTATAGTGATAGTGCGCAAAGACGGATCATAACCTTCGAGCAAACGCAAATACACGAGCCGATCACGAGAGCGATAAGTCCTTTATGTGTTCGAGGGTGTTCTTTCGGTTGAGACGCCTTCCTACGAATCGCGTTTCGCGCTTATAGTATCTCCAGGATTGAATGGCAAACACGTATAGCAGCTATTAAATAAATACCCGAAACGTAAATAATATGTAAATGTTTGCAGTGCACACTTTTCACGTCTTTTTAAAGAGTCAGATTGTCCATCTATCTACACCACTGCCCACGAATCGTGAGATCTCTCACTAGATCGTACGAAATCGTAGTTAGTGAAAGAACATTGAAAAGATTAATGTAGTTCATTATTTTCGTTTTCTTTCTTTAGTAGGCTTTTATAATTTGTATGTTTTCAGTAATTTTATCTATCATACAAATTTTCTGTTTAAAAATATTTTATTTCACTCTGAAGTATAAGTAAATTTTCATTTTCTTTAGGTAATGGGATTGCCATGATGAAATCTTTACTAGAAAAGAGAGAAATTATTTCAATAAAACAGATAAAATATCTGATAACGTGAATTAATAACATCAAAAAATGGTAACTATTATAATTTTATCATTTTTCTATAGCTGTATGTGTACTGATTAGGAGTATTATAAAAAAATTTAGAAATCGGTGATCGCAAACTTTTCAGCAACACTAAATCTGTTTTTGTTAAAATATTGTTTCGAAAATTGTCTAAGTTACAATTTCAGTTTTAAGAAGCAAAGAAGTCAAACAGTCGTGAAAAATGTATTGTATTACCAAAAACGGGTATTTTTGGGAAGTTTTTCTTTATTTAAAAAATGTTCATGTCACGGAGCTCCTACAGCGAATACTAAAATAAATTTTGCAGTGTAGGGACTGTGCGTCTATCGCGCAAGAGACACACTTACTTTCTTGAATTATTTTGTTTCGTGTCGCGACCCCAGGACCTAAGAGCCTATAGGTACCTGCACCATTTTAGGAGATTAAATCATCTTGGGGTTGGTCGGTTACGGAGGTAAGAAGAGCAGTAGGGAGAAGAAAGAGGCGGTTGAGGACGAAGAGGGTTGGGGAAACAGAGCTGATGTTAGTTTTAGCTGATTAAATTACTAAGCCGCGATGGCCTTGCGTCGGCAGAGACCGTTCCTCAATTCGCGATCCATTCCTTTTATTAATCGGTTTCGAGTTGTCGTGAGCTTGAATAAGTTTAAGAGACGAATTATCAATCTGTCCCTCGAATTCAGTTAATCCAACATTTAGGTTAAATTTATGTAACACTAACTCGCGTTTACAAGTTCATATATTTTATACTTACTGTTAGACATCTATTCATTATTTTTACAAATAAAGTTTAAAAACTTTAAGTTCTACCTGCTACATTTATTAATTGCTTATTTACAAGACATAGAAGTAGTGATACTGTAAGCATTTTTCATTATAGTATTTTTAACGCAAGGTTATATCAATGTGCAAGATTTTATAGACTTATGTAAATTATAAGTGTTCCATTTCAAGAAAACTTTTAACCACAGTGGAATTTCTAAGAAAGGTTGTAAATAAAAAGGATGCTGTTGTTCTTTTTGTAGGAATGGAAACACATTAAAAGTATCGATTAATCATAATTATACCTACTCTGTTAGCAGGTACAAATGTAATAGCAGGTGTATAACATGTTTTTACGTGTTCACAATCTAACGTACTTTACACGATTGAGAATAAAAAATTTCTAAGACACGAAAACCATTATTTTTCCACGGAACATTGGAATTAAGAACCTATTAAAGGTAAATTAATAGTTTTCTATTCTTAAAAACAGTTTTTATCATTTCATAGTCTGGTCTGCATAAACCCAGATAAGCACGTAACGATAATAATTGTCTAACAACTTTATTCAGAAATGAAATTTTCAATGTAATTGTGTGTACTGGTAACAAACGGTTAAAACGACTTATTTGAACGCTTCAGCGTTTTTCCATTTATGGCAATTCGTTGTATTGAACACCGGTAGAAATGTAAAAAAGTGTAAGTAGCTGAATTTAAAACTGGTAAAAGTATCGGTAAAAGAATGAAACGGAATCTTGAGCAAAGTAAACGCCTGGATAGTTCTCGAGAACGATTGTCCACGAGGAAAAGAAAAGCAGAAGTGATAGATGCCGGGATACCCTTTTCGTCTCTATGGAGGAATCGTGCCAGTAAAGGGAGTAGAAAGTTAGATGGGGAGGTGGGATCGAAAACGAGAAAGCTGCAATTTATACATCAAAGCCTCGATTGAACGCGTCTCCTCCATTCTGCCAAAGTGAGAGGAAGACATACAAACACAAGAATCGATATATATTTACTCTGTCCATGTATGGAGTTTCGCGAAACAACTCGTACGAAGTGTTTAGCAAATCTGGGTTGATGTGTGCGGATTATGTACTGTGTCCTGCAAAATTAACAAACGCCAAGGGCTCCTTGGATTAAAGCTCTAAAACAAAAAAAAGATACGTTCCGTTCAAATACGAATGAAAATAGACTGTTTCAGCAGACTATCGCAATAATGTGAAATAGGACATTTTGATTTAATCTGGTGGACGTTACAGAAGTCGAGGTTAACGTGTAAAACTTTGATTTGTTTGTCGCTTCTTGTTGATAACATTCAGAAAGTGATAGTTTCGAAAGTATAGTGAACGTTAGAAGAAAATAAGAAATAGAAGTATCACGTTACTTAAACGTTTATTTAAAATGTATTTTTACATTTTGTACGGAAAAACTGTTTTCTAGTTTAATATAGTAGAAAAGAAACAAAATACTGTTTCAGAATAATAGAACAACTAATCATTTTTGACAAGAATGTGTATAGATTGAATATAATTGTAACGATCTAAAATGACTAAAATACTTAAAGTAAATGTATCCATAATAGGGAATCCAAAAAGATTAAAGCATACCCCACATTTTATTCCCAATATCAAAGGATTTAGTCAAAACTGCGACTAATGGAAACTGAATAACTATTGAAACAGAAAGATTTTAAGGTAAATTAGTAATGAGAATGTTAAATAAAAAATGTTTGATAGGTAGCGGTTTCATTAAGGAGCGAAATTAGTAGTTCATGTTCATATATTCAATACATTTTCACAATTGTAACAATGTGTTGGAAATATTATGGAGTGGAGTACGTTTTAGTGATTTACTAAAATAAATTGGGTTTCCATTTTAAAATGAATGAAATCCAAAAGTCTTCGAAATTTTAAAATGATCTGAAATATGTTCGAAAACAATCTTTTATTGGTTTATAGTGGATAACTTAATTTAATAGTACGTTGATCCAATTTCAATAAAATAATGCACATTTTTACAATACATTATTGATACAAGAATAGTTTCTTACAACTTAACCGCCATGTATTCCTGAACTAGACCTTATAAGAAGTCTATGCGAGCGACCAGTTAGAAAAGTTGATCGCAAAAATAAAAAAATTACTATCATTAACCGCCTAGTCCAGTTAATTTGATAATTTCAATATAATTTACAAACTTATTTCAAAGGTAGTTTCGTAATTAAACTAATGTAAGAAATATATTTGTTGTTAACAATTATTTAATTGTTCTTAAGTGGTTTTATCATTTCGGGACATAGTTTTGTTTTCTTTTTATACTTTATGTTAAATAAAGGTCCCCCTTTAAACATGTTTATGTAAAAATACATATTAAATAAATATTTCAATATTGTAATTTTCCAGACCTTTAAACCTTCATTTTATAAATTCGCTCTATTATTTTAGAACATATATAATAACGATTAAAATAATGGTATTTACGAAATGTGCATTACCTATCCAGTTCATGTTTAAAATCGTCTAGCAAGTGAGATAAAAGAATTAGCTAATATACGGAAGTTTCACGAATGGTAAGCAATTTGAAAGAGAACAAGGCAAAATAAATGTTGAAAACACCCACGCATGATTGTCT